CCCCGTGCCAGGCACCCCCAGACCTTTTCCCCATGCAGGGCACTCCTGTGGCCTGGGGCTGTGCCAGGAGGCAAGGGTGGCAGTGCAGTGCTTGCAGTCCCTGCCAGCCTGGGCCTGAGTAGCTGTTACTGCCTTGTAAAACACGAGGGCAGGTAGGGATCGTGGCGGGGGCTGCTGGGCATGGGACCCACTTGGGTCTGACCCCCTGTCTTCACAGTGGTGCTGGAGTTCAAGGCCACAGTGGAGCAGCAGCTGGGCATCAGGCCCGTCGAGAGCCCCTCGCCCTTGCAGCCGGCTGAGATCGAGGCAGGTGCTGGGACAGCTGCGCCCCTGCCGGATCGGACCCCCACACCCACCAGTGCTGAGGTGAGGGTGGAGAAGGGTGCAGGGGTATGTCCTGCCTGGGGGCCCTTGTGCCACAGGGCATCAGTTCTGCCTCCCTGGTCTGACCTTGGGTATGGTCCCTGCCCTTGGCATGGTACATCTCTAGCGTCTTGATCCTGGGAGGCGGTCCAAGCACTCTTCTCCCTGGCTCTGCATGGGTCCCATCCGCTCTGTGCCCTGGGGGCTGGGGCAGGGCTGGCCCTGGTGACGCCACCTGTTCTCCAGGACCTGACACCTGGCAGCGTGGAGGAGGCAGAGGAGGCGGAGCCTGACGAGTTCAAGGATGCCATTGAGGTAAGGGGGTGGGGTGGGCTGGGTTGACACCAAGCAGCAGCTGGTGCAGGTGCCAGGCCAGGGTGGGTGCTGGGGGTGCTGCACCTGCCTCCAGGTCTGGCAGCAGGTGATGCCAGGAGTAAGCTGGGCCCACAGTTGCTGCCTCAGGCAGGTGCATCCGGGTGCTGGGGGATGTGCTGGTGCCCACTGCTGCCCCACCCATCTCTGCCTTTCCTCTCTGACCTATGCTGCGGGAGCAGGAGAACCAGCTGCTGGGCCTGGTGAGTACCGCGGGGCCCTGCGTGCTCGGCCACAGCCCCGCGGTGCACCTGGGTTGGTCCCCTCCTGCTCTGGCCCTGTGGATGCATCTTGTGCATGGTGCCAGGCTGTCCCTGTGCCCTCCTGGCTCCAGGCAGCACTGGTTCTCCCCAGCCTCTGCCCCCTGGGTGGCACGTGGTGGGCAGGACAGGGGCAGGCTGGAGTTCCCCACGGGCACTGTCTGGCCTGGCCCCACAGAGCTGCTCTGTGCCCCCAGGAGGACGACGAGAGCTCGCAGTGCTCGGTAGAGTTTGACCTCCCGGACAACGGCTTCCTGAGCAAGAACGAGGTGATCCGCAGCAAGGTGTCACGCCTCACCGAGCGCCTGCGCAAGCGCTGCCCCTCCAACAACTTTGGTATGCAGCAAGTGGTCAGGGCGTGTTGGGGAGGTGGTGCTGGGCATTGTAGGGTTGGGACTGGGTGTTGGGCACTTTCCCATCATGACCTTGTGCTGTCTCCGCAGGGAGCTGCACCGGTTGTGCTGCCACCTTTTCCGTGCTCAAGAAAAGGGTGAGTTTGTGGTGCCCCCCAGACCTGGGTAGGGCAGTGGGGGGAGAGGCCTCCTGCCTGCCTGGTGCAGCTCTAGGGCTGGACCCTGAGCTCTGAGCTAGACCTCAGTCCTGCCAGGGCCTGGGGGCCCCTCCATAAGAAGGGGATAGCGGCTTAGCCTCAGGTTCACCTGCAGTTGCTGGTGAAGGCTGGGCTGGTCCCTGCCTCACATGGCTCCACCCTTCCCAAGTCTCACCTGTGTCTGTCCACAGCGGAGCTGCAGCAACTGTGGGAACAGCTTTTGCTCCCGGTGCTGCTCCTACAAGGTGCTCAAGTCCTCCATGGGAGCCACAGGTGAGTGCATGGTGGGCGGGGGTACTTGGTGGCAGGAGTAACTCTGTTGCTGTTCCCATCTCTCCTGGTGGGAACAGGGGAGATCCCGGTTGCTGCTGCCCCTGCAGGCCCGGAAGGAGCAGAGGGGTGCTCATTGGGAGTGGGAACCATGGCTGCGGGCAGGGCCAGGGAGGGGTCTCCCAGCAGTGGGGCAGCGGGTGTGACAGCCACCCCTTGCAGCTCCGGAGGCGCAGCGGGAGACGGTGTTCGTGTGTGCGCCTTGCAGCCTGGCTCTTGCCAAGTGAAGTGCAGCGCTTCCTGCCTGGCCCTGCCCAGCACCTGCTGCAGCCGTGGGTGGGGCAGGGGCCTGGCCTCCTTGTGGCTGCTTCCTCTGCCGTCTGGCCAGAGGCATCTGCTCCTCGCTACTCTGCAGCCATCCCCACCCCAGGCTGGGCAGTGCCGTGGGTGCTGGCTTGGCAGCTCCGTTCAGGTGCGTGGGGGCAATGGGCATAGTGCTGAGCGGAGCCATGGGGGCAGCTGGCCTGTCCTCGCCCTGCCCGGCTGGGCTCCCCCAGCATCCTCCGAGCCCTGTTAGGGCAGGATAGGACCGGGGCGTGAATGAGAGATGGGTTCTGTCGTTGCAGAGCCTGGGTGGGGTCTATGATCTCTGGCTGGGGAGGGGGGTGGTCCCTAGGGCTCTTCCAGGTCTCTGGCCTGGAACCTGCTGCTGGGCACTGGGTCCCTCCCCTCTCCCCAGCCAGGATGGGACTCGGGAGTCCTGCCCCCCGGGGGAGCCAGCCTGGTGCAGAGCATCAAGGCTGGGGCCGTCTGGGTCCCAGAGCAGGTAC